ATAGTACAACAGTAGTTGAAGCTATAAAAACAGATTGTATTCAAGAACTGTTGCAATAGGGGAGAAGGGACCTCAGTGTAGACCTGGGCTCATTTCCAAATACATCATGGACAAGTGGTGATTTATAACCAAGGAGCAAGGTGGGGTCAAGGAATGGAAAATTACTAAGAGGAAACATTAGGGATTTGGGGAGGAGGAGGATCCTAGGGATTTGGGGGGGAGGAGGATCCTACTTAATAGGATCCTTACTGAAGGCAGGCAGGAGTGATCAGATCCCAAGGATTTTAGCAGGATTCTTGCTAAAATGGGACAGTGCAGACCCTGTGAGAATGGATGCAAGGCAGAGGCCTCAAAGGATTAGAGGAGCCTGACCAAAGTTTAGCCAAGTACAGGGCCTGTGTCATTATCTATGCTGTGTGATTTCAAATCTTGCCTAACTCGTTGGCATTTATTATTAGCAAGTTTTAACTGTACAAAATGTTGGGGAGGAAGTGCCCTAATCATTCAACCCTGTCCCTGTCCCTCCCTGCATCAGCATTTCCACAAAGATGTGTCCTGAAAAAGATGCAAAAACAAAACAAAACAAAACAAAGAAACGAACAACCCCCCAACCCGCCAAAAAAAAAAAAAAACCCACAAAAAAACACCAACAAAAAGAAACCAAACCCAAAAATTTCTGTCTAGCCAGAATTGGTGAGGAAGAAGGAGTAGGGGAAATAGAAGAAGAAATGCATGGAACTATTTGGTTAAATGATTCTGGATATAATTTGAGATCTCGTTTATGATATGCATCTAAACCCCTTTACCTCTACATCTTCCTTACTTGGGTGCTTCATCTGAATAAGACCCGTTTGAGATCGCCTTCATGTGGCCAAGAGACCAAAGGAGTTAAAAAAAAAAATTGGAGAAAATGCTTTGAGAAAACAAGTCAACCCACTGAACATTAGGGTGGCAGGTGGTTGGAGTTTGCCTCTGATAGCACAGAGCTCAAAGGGCCGGCGAGCTTCCGGTGCTCCCCTTGACAATAGCGGTGTTGTAAAAACAAATAGATGCCAAGGAGGAAAGCTCAGTGCATAAATGTAAAGCAAGATGGCAAAAAAGCTCAGGAAGTTTTATCAAGATGCGTACGATTCAGGCTCATCATCCTGGATTGTTCTATGAAGAGCCCTGGTGCCTCCCGCTGCTTTCATAATTTATTCATTGTTTGTTTTGGAGGTGAAGGGGTGTGTTTGAGAGGATGTTTGACCTTCCTTAACGGTTCAACCAGTTCTGTTGTCACCTCACTGCTCTGGCATTGGGCTCTCATCCTGTTTATCCCTGCTCTGGGAAACACCGCCCATTCTTAGACAACTGCTTTCTTTGTTTCAGGTTCAACTTTGTTAAATCAAAGCATTATGGAAATCTAGATTGTAAAGCCAAATAGGCGGTTGTGTAAAGTTATTTGCATCCTACTTGCCGGTAGATAGCTATTTTAAATAAATCAGGCCTGCCATTAATTCAGTTTTGCCACACTGCTAGGGTTCTGCTAGTACTCTGTCCTCGTTCTCATTATAAGGCAAGGCCTAGAGTTGTGGTTTTTTTTTTTTTTTTTTTTTTTTTTTTTTTTTTTTTTTTTTTTTTTTATTTAAGTTTGTCTTTAAATTTCCGTTAGTTAACATACAGTGTGATATTAGTTTCAGGTTTACAATTTACTGATTCAACCCTTCCATGCAACACGCAGTACTCATCACAACAGGTCCACTCCTTAATCCCCATCGCCCATTTCACCCACCACCCCCCACCCTCACCCCTCTGGTAACTATCAGCGTGTTGTCTATAGTGAAGAGTGTTTCTTGGTTAGGCAAGGCCTAGAGTTTTGTTATCTCTCCACCTCCTCGTTCTTTCGGGGATTGAGTAGTTGCTACTGTCAAAGTGTGATTATCCGTGACCACCTGCCCCCCCAAATTTCTACACAGACACTGCACAGACCAGCAAGACTTTAAGCTGTCTTACACTATTGTAGTCCTTCGGCTGCGCTATTTTTTTCTAACTGTATGTAGGAGAGTGTCTTTAATGATGCACGGTGGGCAATTAACGCATTTTTGAGGGTAGTGATTTTCAAACTGTTAACTGTCATTTACTGTAAAAAAGTGAATGTGACATTGTGATCCAGTGTATACATACATGGTTTGTATAATGTGTAACTGAAGCAAAAGTGTCACTAAATAATATCTTGTTATGAGTGATACACTCCATAGTTTCTATTATAGTTTTTGCCTGCTTACAAAATGCTGACTGTGACCTTGTAAGTGGATTTTCTGACCCACTAATGAGTCACAATTTGAGCCTGAAAAGAACTGCCTAACAGTCATCAAGTTTTAGGAAGTCTAGGATGCTAATTCTGAGAAGACTTTGGAAATTATCTATGGGCGGCTTCCCTTTTCATCCTATTTCATACTTAGAGGAACTTGAAGTCCAAGTAGGTGAAGACTTCTTGTGGGGAAACAGTGCTGTCTTAGCTGCTATTTATGCTATTACCCACATTTAGTCCTGGAATCATGCAGTTTAACCACAGGAAATCTAATTTTTGAGGCTAGGAATTTTGCTCCTGGGTGGTTTCATGGTAACGAACAAAGTATTCCCACTTTCCTTCCTCCTATGGAGCTATTTTCTCCCTGCATTAGTTTATTACCCCCCCTCATCTCTGCCTAAGGGAAGACTGCTAACAGAACGTTGCATTGGTACCCCCTGTTCTAGGGATGGCACACAGCTATCATTGTCATGAAGCCAAACCCATTGTCATGGGTTGAACAAGGAACAGACTTAGGCATGTACTTAGGCAGTAAAAAAACAAAACAGAAGTCCGAATGTGCATTTTCTTTAAGGCAATTGCAGTTTTAGTTTTGACAGCTGCATACATCTTGGTATATTTGCTGTTTTTTCATCATTTCTTAATACTTAGTAGTGATATTCTCATACTCACATCTTACATTTTTAGTGGCATTATTTCTATTGTGAAGGAAAAGGCTTCATGGTCAAACAATTCACATCAACTTTTGAGTTCTCAAATACCATTCATAGAGTGTTGATCAGTTTGGGCTGCCATAACAGACTACCATAAACTGGATAGCTTGAATAATAGAAGTTAGTTTTCTGGGGCGCTGGGTGGCTCAGTTGGTTAAGTGTCTGACTTCGGCTCAGGTCTGATCTCACTGTTTATGAGTTCAAGCTCCGCGTCAGGCTCTGTGCTGACAGCTCAGAGCCTGGAGCCTGCTTCGGATTCTGTGTCTCTTTCTCTCTCTGACCCTCCCCCACTCGCACTCTGTGTATCTTTCTTTCTCTCAAAAACAAATAAACATTAAAAAAATTAAAGAAAAAAAGAAGTTAGTTTTATTACAGTTCTGGAGACGGCAAGTCCAAAACTGAGGTGTCAGAAGGGCCTCTGTCTGGTAAGGGCTCTGTCTTTGGATTGCAAATGGCTGCCTTCTGGCTGTCTACTCACATGGTGGAGAGAGGGCAAGCAAGTTTTCTGCTGTCTTTAAGACCACTAATCTAGCTGGACTAAGACACCATGCTCATGACCTCATCTAACCTTAATTATCTCCCAAAGGCCCCAACTTACTTTCTTTCTTTCTTTCTTTCTTTCTTTCTTTCTTTCTTTCTTTCTTTCAAGTTTATTTATTTTTGAGAGACAGAGAGAGATACATTGTGAGCAGGGAAGGGGCAGAGAGAGAGAGAGAGAGAGAGAGAGAATCCAAAGCAGGCTCCAGGCTCTGAGCTGTCAGCACAGAGCCCAACGTGGGCTTCAATATGTGAATTTTGGGAGAACAGAGTCTAGACTATAGTACAAAGCTAAGATCTTAGTTTGAATATTGGCTGAAGCATGTAAAGAACTTTTCTCAATTGTACTTATTAAAGATAGACTCTTCTGTTTGAGTGAATGGATATTTTTCACACTCTATAATTCTTACAACAATTATTAACAATAGTAACACATTTACTTTCTTTTATATTCCTGGTAATGCAAGTATGTGGACTATAGGTTACAATTAAAAGATGCCCAAGAGTAAAGAGTAAGTAAATGATACCTTTAAAAAGTTATTTTCATAAAGAATTTTTTTTCTGGGGCGCCTGGGTGGCGCAGTCGGTTAAGCGTCTGACTTCAGCCAGGTCACGATCTCGCGGTCCGTGAGTTCGAGCCCCGCGTCGGGCTCTGGGCTGATGGCTCAGAGCCTGGAGCCTGTTTCCGATTCTGTGTCTCCCTCTCTCTCTGCCCCTCCCCCGTTCATGCTCTGTCTCTCTCTGTCCCAAAATAAATAAATGTTGAAAAAAAAATTTAAAAAAAAAAAAAAAAAAAAAGAATTTTTTTTCTAATGCAGATTTTATTCCTCATTGATAGTTAATGAATTTCTATGCAGCCTAGCACTATTTTTAAAACTTTATATGGTATAGAACAGCTACCCACTATCAGTGAGAACAATACATATTTTAGCAAACTACCATATGTACTAAAGATATGCTTTAAAACAACTTTTGTGTATTGGAATTATTATTGCTGTCTAGAAGCATGGATGAGTTTCTTAACTAAGAAACTGTAAAGGAGCCAGGTGTTTGTCTACAAGAAATGTTGCAGAGAGCTATCCCAATTGCCTACACAAAATATCCATTCTATCTAAAGAAAAACAGAGAGGGGAGATTGAGAATACAGAATAGTTTTAAAGCTTCTCATTTGAAACCTGTTGGTCCACTTTTAATATTTTTAAAGTCCTTGGAAATCCCCAAACTAGTTCTTACCTTCTTGGCTGCTATAGGTAGACAAGAGTTTTTTTTTCCCCCATGTTTTGCTATCTTTTTCTTATTTCTAGGTTTAAAGAGTTGTGGGCTGTTTTAAAACTACAGGGCTTCTGTGTAAAGTTTGGGCTGTGTATCTAGATAAAATATCCTGGGTCTCCTTAGAGTATCTTTGCTTGCATGCTTTTACTATGCTAACACATATGTTTACTTTGTTTCTCTTGTTTCAGTGTCTATCAGCTGAAGAGATCTTTTCCCTTCATGGCTTTTCAAATACTACCCAGATAAGCAGCTCCAACTTCTCTGTCATCTGTCCAGCAGTCTTACAACAACTGAACTTTCATCCTTGTGAGGATCGGCCCAAACACAAAACAAAACCAAATATTTCGGAAGGTATGTTGGAAGTTTTTTTTTTTTTTTTTTCTTCTCCTGTTTGTTTGAAAAGCCTATAGGCTAGTTTGAAATTAAATCAACATGCTTCTTTCTCTGCTTTATTGCTTTTATTTAATCTACCTAGAAGCTGTTGGTAAAATGCTTATATTCTGAAAGTGTTTAGAATAAGAATAATTAGAACTCATTTAAGCTTCATAAGTTGTGCTCTTTTATTTGTGGAGTCAAAGTTATATTTGGTACCAATTAAAAACTTTATAAAACATTTGTGGAGTCAGAGTTATACTTGGTACCACTTAAAAACTTTGTAAAACTCAATTCTTGATTTTAAACAATAGATGCCTTATACTGTACTTGTTGGATTGTATGTCAACTATTTGGCTCATAACTGATAAGGTGATTTCCCTTACCTTGTGCTTATCTTATTATTTAAAAGCTTATCAATTTATCTGTAATTTTCAGTAAAGGGATAAAGGAATATCCCACTTAGATTAAATATTAAGGTTATGAGTTATGATTGTTTTAATTTTCATTAACAAAAGAAAATGCCAGTGACTCTTCTTTAAGTGCCTGTAATAGTATTGCCATATGTACTGCATTTCAAAGGAACAACCTGCTGCAAAGAAATTCTAAAATCCGAGAAAACAAGTGCATGCTTACGGTATAGTTCACCTACTTAACCATGTAGAAGAATTCTTTTCCAAATAAAATAAACTATTTCTTCCACGGGTCTGTTTTCCAGCTATGTGCAATTTCTTGGTACCCTCAAATCATTAACCTGACCCACATGGATATTTTAATTCTCATTTTTTTTTACATTGTTCATTCAATAAATGTTTTTATTTTAATTTTTTTAATGTTTATTTATTTTTGAGAGACAGAGGGCGCGAGTGGGGTAGGGGCAGAGAGAGAGGGAGACACAGAATCCAAAGCAGGCTCCAGGCTCCGAGCTGTCAGCACAGAGCCCGACATGGGGCCGAAACCCACAAACTGTGAGATCATGGCCTGAGCCGAAGTCGGACGCTTAACTGACTGAGCCACCCAGGTGCCCCAATAAATGTTTTTTGAATGACATGCCAAATGTTGTTCTGGGCATTGAGGATTCAGTAGCAAAGAAGAAAAATTTCCTGCCCTTTCAGGGCTTACAGTATAATGGAGAAGAGAAATAATAAACATTTATACAAACAAGCAAATAAGTAATGTAATGTCAGAGTGATAAATGCCATGAAGAAATTAAGTAGGTAAGGGATAGAAGGAGATAGTGAGTGAGTGTGATTTTCAATACATCAGAGAAGGCCTTTCTGATGAGATTACATTTGAGCAGGGTCCTGACTGAAGGTAAAGGAGAGGACCACGGCAAGATGTTCTCTGGAAAAAGAACGTTCTTGGTCAAGGGAACAGTCACCATAAGCTTGACAATGAGCTTGGCGTATGTAAGGAACTGCAAGAAAGCTTGTGTGTCTGGAGCATAGGAAGCAAGAGGGAGACTGGAAGGAAATGATGCCCTGGGCCGTGTAGAATGCAGTAAATTGACTGGGTTTTGCTCTGAATGTGGTATGAAGACACTGTAGGGTTATAAATGGGGGAGTGACATGATTTTGTTTGGATTTGTACAAGATTATTCTCCCTGCGGTTTGAAGAATAAGTTGTAATGTGGTATGAGTGGATGCAAGGGAATTAGGAGGCAGTTTCCCAGGGTTGGTGCTAAGGATGAAGGGGACTTGGGCTGAGGTGGGAGAGGTAGAAGGGAGCAGTGATCAGATCCACGATGGATTTTGGAAACTGTGCTAAAATGGATTTGCTTCTGGATTAGATCGTGGGGGTTGGGAAAGATGAGTCAAGATTTGAACCACAGAAGCTGGAGAGATGTTTGTGCCATTTCCTAGGAGAGAGAAAACTGGGAGCAGCAGTTTCTTTTTTTTTTTTT